TTTTCCTGCCATAGAAATCATGGCCATAGAAATAATATCCCACATTCAAAAACTGGAGATATATTTTTTTTTGGTAAGGACTGAATAAGCTACTATTTGGCAGAAACCCCATTGTAAGGTACAAGAGAAACAAAACAAAGCAAAACAAATTAAAATATAGGATATCAAGATACGAAATTGCTTCTACACGGGTTTTTGTTTTTTGGCATCTTTTAATGAGATGTGCATGTCTGTGAATAGTTTTAATATGCAAGCCACAAAGTGGCTTCTACTCAACCCAATCACAAGAGAACTTATATCATAAGATGATTTAAAATGACAATTTGATGGCACAGAGATATTTATACGTATACATATGTGTATTTATACACATATCTTGTAACAAGTTACACATACCACTCATGTAATGGAAAACTAATAACAGTAAATATATGGTAACTTACACTTGTTTACACAAGCACATCAAACCATCTAAATATGGATAGCCCCTTTTCCTATTGTAGGATGGACTACATTCTGTATGTGGGATACATACATCCCCCACCAATTTTTAAGCTGCCATCTTACCTTTATTTATTTATATTATTTATATGCCATCTTTCTCCCCATAGGGGACTCAAGGCAGCTCACAACAATTTCAACAGTATAATGACAACAGGTTAAAAAAGACTATACAAAACACAATTAACCATTAGTTAGATTAAAACCAAAATTAAAAACAATTTTAAAATATTTTTTAAAATGAAAAGTATCTAAATTTCAAAAATACAGCATTCCCTATTGCTTTGAAGTCTACCTTTAAAGGAAAGTCTTTTCCTAATGTTTTAAAAAACCCCAAGGCGGTTACAGGTTAAACTATTCACTGACTTCCAATTCCAGTGGACAGGTTAACTACACCAAAGATTGCCTCAACAGGTATATTTTCTCTTAGCATCTAAGTGCAATCTTTCTCATAACTTTACTACTGATATTGAGGATATAAAGCAAGTCATCTCCAGATGATCCGGGCAGAAATATAAAGGCAATAAACTGCTCCCTCTTTTTTCGTTATTACTTTTTGCAAATGCGCTGAAGGGAGAAAAGAGGGCAGAAAGAAAAAGAAAAGGAAAGAAGAAAAGGAAAGAAAAAAAAAAAACCAAACCAAACAACAAGAAAAGGAAAGAAGAAAAGGAAAGAAAAGAAACCATACCAAACAATGCCAGTTCACAATGACATTTTAATAGGGACCGAACAAACCTTGGCCTACAATTAGATAGGAGCAGCCATGTCCCAAAAAGTACAGTATCCAGTCAGAATATAGGGCCATCAGATATCTATTAAAATGTAGATGGCACAGTGAGATTTTTAGACTATGACTGAGTGATAGATGTTGAGTGTTTATTTTTCCACCCTTGGAGTGTAAGTCTCTTTGTAACTAAAAGAGCCGAGGGACTCCATTTCGACAGCTCCTCTGTTAGATCCCACATTCCTGGAATTTAATTCAACAATGCGTGAATGTCTTCATATGACTCCCCCCCTAAAAAAAAACATTATTATGAATCACACAGTCCAAAGAAATGGAAGTAATTATTAGACACGACCACATCAAAGGCATTATTCATTATACATCATCAAGCTGAATTAACCAGCTTCTCTCTCTATAGGCTCTGTGGTGCCCAATATGCTGCAAATATTGATTTTTTTAAAAAAGCCCTTAGAAAAAAAGATTGTGTCCTTGTAAGGATAGAGAAATTGAAACTCTGAAGCATGTCCTTTTTGAGTTACAGAAATGAGCGTATCAAATTCCTCAAGCCCATAATGAATGGCTGCCCAGGTAGGACTCTAATTTGGTATACAAAATCTTTATTAAGCAACTTAAAAAAGATAACCACTGAATCAGTGGTCAAATTCCTTCTCTCTGCCCAAAGAATATGAAAAACAATCTTGACTTCTACCTAACCCCGTCATAAAAAAAATATGGGCAATCTATTTTATCAATTGATACCATTTTAGCTATCTTGAAATGTTTTAATTGCTTCCATTTATTTTAAATATTACATCTATGTATTTTAATGGGTGAGCGACCGCAAAATAAAGATTTAGATTTTTTTTTCTGAATCTGTCTCACTTTTAAGGCTAGAGAAACAACACATAGAAAAGTTACAGCAGCATTCAATTGACTATGTTGTATGGGACAATCTAGTTCCTTGCTCCATAAGTCTAGACTCTTAAACTTCACTTGACACATGGAAAGACGGTTCACTGAATCCTTATCCCAACCCATTTTGGGCATAAAAAATAATTGGTTGTTGTGGGTTTTTCGGGCTCTTTGGCCCAAAAAACCCATAACAACCATCAGATTCTGGTTGTGAAAGCCTTTGAGAATACATAAAAGATAATTACTGACACGACAGGACCAGAAATGAGCTAGAAACCAGTGGAGCTAGTAGACAGCAGCACCATGCATATAGCAGAGTTCCAGTTGAGGCTTTGGCCACCTGTGGTTCTGAACCTTTGATCCTGCACATGCTTTGACGAACTCCCAGAAGCCCAAAACAGTCAGACAAACGATCAGATTCTGGGAGCTGAACGCCAGAAGATCTGGAGGGCCAGTAGCTGAAGATCACTGAAATAGACTGATCAGGATCTCCTACACATTATTCAGAATATCCATGCTCTCCCTAGAATATGATGGAAAGGAGAAACACAGTCACTCAGGTGTTATTAGTCTAGTGATAAAAACTTGGGTATTACTTGATCACTAGAAAATGAGAGACAAAGGGTGTAATTACAATATGAAGATGATTTGGGAGATGGATGGGACGTTTGAAAATCAGTTTAAAGTCGTGGTAGTCACGTGGTTTTGCGATTGGTGTGTCTGTCCTCTAGGGCAGTGGTCCCCATCCTTGGGCCTCCAGATGTTCTTGGGCTATAACTCCCAGAAGCCTTTACCACCACCTCTGCTGGTCAGGATTCCTGGGAAATGAAGTCCAAAAACATCTGGAGGCCCAAGGTTGGAGACCTCTACTCTAGGGAAAACTTTAGACTGTGCTGTATATCAGTCAAGCAAGTTACATGGGCTTTTAGAATCATTGCATTTCAGGCTTTGTCCTGTGCCCATCTGCCTGCCCTCGTGCCAGTTACCTCTCACAGCCACTAACCATTTCTGCTGTGATGTTATTTTTAGTATTATTTTTATTTCTTTCAAAGTGAGATAGCGCTATTTCGATATTACAGGTAGAAAAAATGTTAGTGCAAAAACTAATAAAACAGCAAAAACTTTGCAAGCCGGCACCCATGCATGGAGATGCACATATGCACACACGCACATACCCACAATGTAGAGAAGGAGTGACAGAACTACATCCACGTCTGGCAAGAGGGAAGGCACACCATGAGGAACAAGTGGGTCCTAGAACAAATCAAGCCCAAGCTGCCTCTAGAGGCAAACATGATGAAACTAAATAAAACAGCAAAAACTTTGCAAGCCGGCACCCATGCATGGAGATGCACATATGCACACACGCACATACCCACAATGTAGAGAAGGAGTGACAGAACTACATCCACGTCTGGCAAGAGGGAAGGCACACCATGAGGAACAAGTGGGTCCTAGAACAAATCAAGCCTAAGCTGCCTCTAGAGGCAAACATGATGAAGCTAAGGCTGTCCTACTTTGGACACATCATGAGAAGGCAAGGTTTGCTTAAAAAAGACAATAATGCTGTGAAAAGTTGAAGGCGGCAGGCAAACGGGAAGACCAAATTTGAGATGGACTGACTCCCTAAATTGAGCTTACATGAACTGAGCAGGGCTACTAAGGGCAGGATATGTCAGAGACCACTCCTTCATAAGGTGGTCCTAAGTTGGACCTGAGTTGACAGCACACAACGGTCACATCAACAACGTCATCATTCATCAGGTTAGAGCCGCTTAGATTCCCTGTACATTTGGACTGCCACCTCCATGAAACTGGTTTACTCGTCGGGTTGATTTGGTTTTTCTGTTGCTTTTTATTTCGTTTATGTCGAACTAAAGGGTGCCAAGGGCCCCTTTTCCTACTTAGTTCAGGTCCGCGCTCGCACAACTTTGAAAAAAAAGGACATTCCTGCCCGAATGCCAGGAAACTGACTTCTGTTAGGACCCGGGAAACCCCTGCGCTTCCCCGCCGCGGCTTCCCTTGAATCGACGAGGGGACGGGGCGGGGCCGCCTCTTCAGGCTCCTCATAAACCTGGCCGCTTTAGGCAATATCCTGGGCAGATGTTTTACAACTTCTTGCGGGCTTCGGCGAAGGGCGTGGAAAGGGGGGTTTTTCCTCTCTGGCCCTGTTCTCAACCCTGGCAGTTTGGCAAGCAAGCAAGCAAGCGGGGAGCGGGGGGGGGCACCGGCACCAAAAATGATATTAAAAAGTAACCAAGCGGGTCGGGGAGGCACGAGCATTTGGAAATAATTTTATTTTTTATTTCTTTATCGGAAAGAGAGAGAAGGTGGGCCGCCAGAGAGAAAGCGGGAGAGAATAGCTCATAGTTAGTGACGAGAAGTTTGTTCTTACCAAGAATTTCCACCCCGACCAAGTGTCAAAGAAGAAGAGGAGGGGGGGAAAGGGGGGGGCTGAACATTTATTTAGCCGTCCCTTCGGCAGACGTTCAGCTGGAAAGCTCTTCTTACCCCGAGAGAGATCCAAAGGGCTCAGCGTGCGAATAGGGAGGAGGGCGGTGTGTGTATGTGTGTCATTTCCGATCTCGTGTGTGCGTGCGAGCGCGTATTTCAAAGCCCGGTGGTTTCCCCCCTCCGAGTGAGACATTGTCTAACCTTCCCGGGCTGGTATTAATAAGATCGCTCCGGAGGTTCCCCCCCTTTTTTTTGTGGTTTTAATTAGATCGGCTCTTCGATTGTGTTCCTGGCTTCCACTCACATGCGAAACCGGCACCCTTGCGGTGAGTTGGAAACCGCCGGGCAGCTGTGGATCCAAAGCCCCCTTCCCTTCCCTCAGAGTTGCTTCCCAAAGCAGACTCGCGAGAGAGCGATCCTCTAGCAGAAGATATGCCGGAACAATAGGAGCCCCCCCGCCCGGCCCCTTCCCATGCCTGCCGGCTGGGCTCCAGCATGGCTGTGTACGCCCTCACTGGCTTCTCCCTGGTCAGCCTGCTGAGTTTTGGCTACCTGTCTTGGGACTGGATGAAGCCCGGCTTGGTGGCCGACGTGGCCGTGGACCCTTTGCAGAAGCCTCTGGCCGCGGCTCGCCCCAGGCCCCCTCACCTCATCTTCATTCTGACCGACGACCAAGGCTACCACGACGTGGGCTACCACGGCTCGGAGATCCAGACGCCGACGTTGGACCGGCTGGCCGCGGAAGGGGTGAAGCTGGAGAACTATTACATCCAGCCCATCTGCACCCCCTCGAGGAGCCAGCTTATCACCGGAAGGTAAGACGCAGAGGCAGAAAGCGGGGGGAGGGGGGGGAGGCGGCGGCGCGATGATTAACAAAGTTGGAGTCGAAGACGCGGGTTCAAATGCTCACTTGGCCATGAGTGACTTCGGGCGAATCGCCTTGTCTTGGCCTGAACTTCGTCTGAAGAGAGAGGGAAAAGTAAACGTAACAGTGAGAGGTAACTAGAAGCCGCAAAGTTTTGCCCAAATGAAGCTGGGCAGGCCAGCCTGCCTCCCACCCTCTGCAGGTGGTCTTCTTAGTTGTGCCATACCAATGTGGGTCTTTACAATACCCTGACCCAATGGGGCAAGCGCTCCCTGAGTTTCATCCTTCAGTTTAGGTGTGGATTTCTTGGCGGGCCCTCAACAAATCACATCTTGATGTGTTCCCCACTTCTAATATGGGAGTCATACTGGTCTATCTGGCATGGATGGACTGTGCATTTTACAGCTTCTATTAAGTGAGTACAGTAATGAAATGATGTCAGTAGTAATTATAGCGCGATGGGTGATCTGTAGCATTTCATCAAAAATCATGCCGTACGCCACTTTTCCTTTAGTTTTGTTGTAGATAATTTGTGTTGTTCCTGTTGGCAGAGAATATACCCCACACATTTTTATGGGGTATTTGGGGACAAGACCTTGCTGCCTTTATAATAAAAGGTAGGTAAGACCACCCAAAGGCTCTCTGTATGTAAGTGAAAAGACCACTTGCCTTAAAACACAGATATAAAAGGAAAGGACTGTCCTCTAAAAGGAACATTTTGTGTGAGGATTGTTGCCATGAGGAGTGTGTACCTTTATGATACTGTATATCTGTGAGGCTGTCACTGGGGTCTAATGTGGTAACCCTAAACTTTGTTACTTGATGCCAGATGCACTGAAATCGGCAGAGGAGCTCCCAAATGTGATTCTGGAGGTAGGAAAGCTATACATTGCTACACTGTTTGTAACAGGAGAATAGAACTGGAAAGTGATGTTTTGGTGGGTATATTATGCTTAATTCACTGTTCAAATAATTTTAGAGTCATTGAAGTTTCACCTGAACAGTCTGAATTGAATGTTTAGAAGACTACACCCTTAGAAAAAGGAAAGGACAGGAGTGCAGTTGGTGTTTATCTCACACTTTCAACAATTCCAATGTGTGGGTCTTGGAGATTTTTCATCCAGTGTACTGCTGAAACACAACAGACAACATAGAATGTTGTGACAAAAAGAACATGGTGGAAGTTAGGTTTAGATACTCATTGTGCTGTAGTAGATAGAGTGATGGCCTAGGACTCCGGAGTAAAGGTAAATATTCCCCTTGACATTTTTAGTCCAGTTGTGTCTGACTCTAGGAGGCGGTGTTCATCCCGTTTTCAAGCCTTAGAGCCAGTGCTTGTCCAAAGACAGTTTCCGTTGCCACGTGGCCAGCGTGATTAGGGAACACTGTTTTACCTTCCCACCGAGGTGGTACCTATTTATCTACTTGCATTTGCATGCTTTCGAACTGCTAGGTTGGTGAGGAGCTGGGACAAAGCGACGAGAGCTCACTCCGTCATGTGGATTCGATCTTACGATCTGCTGGTCTTCTGACCCTGCAGCACAGGCTTCTGCGGTTTAGCCCACAGCGCCACCACATCCCTTCAGGACTCGGGAGACCTAAGTTCAAATCCCCAATTGGTCATGGAAACTCACTGGGGATGTACAACTGGTAAAGCCATTTCTTAAATATCTCACTTACCTTGAGAGCCATATTAGGGTCAATGTAAATTCATTCTGACTTCATGGCACATAAATAAATACTGTATAACAAATCTACACTGATCCAATTCTTCAGATCATCATAGTATACCAGATCTGCAGTGACATTATTTGCGCTCCTTTCAGATTCATTTGTTCAAGAACTTTTTAGGCACAGAACAAAGTCATAAGCATGAGTGCCCTAGGCTCTGTAGGCCAGACAGAGGTGCAATAAAATAAAATAAATATAAAAGGAAGTGGAGAGCAAACTACTGTGGTTGTTCCTTAAAAAAACACAAACCAACAATATTCAGGATGAGGGACAGATGATTTTCCACACCTGATGCAGAGTGAATAGAATTGACTCATTGTGTGACTAATGTTCTAGCCTAGCAAGTGAGCTGGTATACCTCTTACAAGTAATTCCATTTCTAGGGAATCGGATAGTAAGCAATATAAGAAAATATGCTCCTGGTGTAAAAGTGTGGAATAGTCCAGGTTGAATATAGAAAGAATACTTAACAGAATTTGGAGTAATGATCAGCACATTGACAGTGGTCTGAATTGTCTGAGAACATGCAGCCAGTCCAGAAGGAGCACCAGCTCATTTCTTAGACACTCTACCAACAGTCCTGTGCAGTCAAGAGAGGTCAAAAAGTAAGAGCCAGTGCACTTCCTAAGGCTCCACTATAATGTACTGGCCTGCTCCTGCTAATACCGCACTACTGAGTGTCAGGGTCAGATCACATAGCATGGCAAATGTGTATTTCTTCCTCTTCCACTGTCCCCCCCTCCAGGCATGCAAATCTTTCAGTGCTGTGGGCCTAAGACAACCAATGTGCAAATGAAGTTCTGCAGATATGCTGTTTCCCAGTCAACCAATTGCCAAAGGAAAGCAGGCTAGTTTGGCAAGTGTGGGCTGATGTTCTGTGCCCAGTTTAGGTATGAGTGTTAGCACTGCCACTGCAGCTGAGACCTGCTATTCCCGCCTACTCCACCTGCACAAAAAAGGCCTTGCAGCTTCCCTTGTCTTTTCCTGAGTCTTAGCCTCTTTCCTTGTGCTTCCTCTTCCCTCTACTTTCTCCTCTTGTCTCCTTTCTGCCATCTTGTGGGTCACAGATTACTGAACCAATCAGTTTGAGTTGCTGCCAGCTTTCAGGGGCAAATGTAGGCAGGAAATACAAGGACAGTGTGGCCCCTGCTGACTTATGAATGGTTTGATACAGCGGCCCACCCCCGGGAAATTGCCCACTCTTCCTATACATGCCTACCTAGGAATATGTCTATTTGAAACAGGCTTCTGACCAGTTATGTACAGTACTGCCCTGCTGAAATAGGGCTGTTTCCTTCCCTGTTTTCTCTTTGGTTGGTTTTTGAATATGTTACCCCAGGAACTGGATCAAATATTCTACTTAATTTGATGCTGGGGCAGACATAACATGGTTCCATACTCTCATGTCATATGCATCGTTACATGGATATTCTGTAGGCACAGATAATTAAAGCTGGAGTAGTCAATATAGCGATGGAATCTAGCCCCTAAGAGCAAATAGGTTCTATTCCACAACATGCTCAGACTACCCCCCATACAGCCCACACCTGCCTGCCTCCCTCCCTTCAGTATGCATGCATGCATGTGTGCTTGCTTGCCTGCTTCTCTTTCTGTGTGGAGGTTGGGCATGGGCACCAGCCACCACTGGGAGAAAGCACAATAGTACCTTCAATATTGGGAAGATACTACATCTTAGGCAGCACAGGCTTCCATGGTGTAAAATCCATTTTAAACATTTATTTATTTATTTATTTATTTATTTATTTATTTATTTATTTATTTATGTATTTATTTATGTATTTATTTATTTATTTATTTATTTATTTATTTATTTATTTATTGGACTTATATACTGCCCCATAGCGCTACAAGCACTCTCCGGGCGGTTT